CTTTTCCAGCCGTCCTGGAAAAGAAAAAAAAATGTAAGTGCATGTCGAAAATACACTCGTATGTGCGTAAAAGCACAATGTCGGCGGAAAAAAAAGGAAAATAAACTCATGAACACGTAATAGCGTTAAAAAAATTGTTTTTTTTATAGAAATAAAAATATATAAGCATATTAAAATTGTTTTTTTTTTAAAAATAATATAAAATGTCGAGAAGTGCCTTACGTGCAATAGTCGTTTAGATGTACTGGAAATCTCTCCCTTCTTCCAGAACGCGTCGTTTTAAGTTTATTTTCGGATACTGTCGAAGTATCATCGTGTGTATTGGTTGTCGGATGAGGTATTATAAGTGTCGGAGTCGTGTCGTTCGATTGTACCGAAGGAAAATCCACGTAGATAGGATTTCCTTCTAAATACGCTGCTTTTAAGCGATCGATACTGATGCTATCGTTGGTTCCGTTCTTATCGACTATATAGTACTTAGATTCACGTTGAAGAACTTTGAAGGGTCCTTCGTATGCTGATTCGAATGGTCGTCAATGCGAGTCTCGACGAATTAAAACGTGTGTACTATATCGTAAGTCAGGTTGAACGAAAACATCAGTTGATTGAGGTCGAGTGGAAGCAGGTTTAACTGAACGCATTGCGTTTGTAAGCCTGTTCGTGTAGGAGGTTAGATCCATGTTCATTGAAGATGATGAAGGATCCACGAATTCTCCTGGAAGTCGAAGTGTCGTACCATAAACGAGTTGAGACGCAGTGTATCCAATGTCAGCTTTCACTGCATTGCGGATACCTAGTAAGACGAGTGGAAGAGCGTCGGTCCACTGTGAAACGTTTGCAGCTGATAGCGAAGCTTTCAGTTGTCGGTGAAAACGTTCTACCAACCCGTTTGCTTGTGGATGGTAGGCGGTCGTTCGGAATCGAGTGATTCCTAAAAGTGTGGTCAGACGACGGAAAAAATCGGATTCAAACTGACGTCCGCGGTCTGTAGTGATGGTTGAAGGGCAACCGAAGTTTGCTACCCATCGTTCGACGAAGGTGCGGGCCACTGTTTCAGCAGTGATGTCCTTGATAGGTACTGCTTCTGGCCATCGAGTGAAACGGTCTACGCAGGTTAAGAGGTAAGAGTATCCATTTGAATCTGGTAAAGGTCCTACCAAATCCAGATGAACATGGTCGAAACGAGGATCGGGAGTTTTAAACGAGCCTAAGGGACATTTATTGTGTCTGATAACCTTAGATTTTTGGCAGCTTACACAGGAGCGTGCCCACTCCCTCACGTCTTTATTCATTCCAGGCCAGCAAAACCTTTCTGCAATAAGCTTGATGGTTGCACGAACACCTGGATGAGAAAGTTTGTGCAATGTATTGAAGACATTGCGTCGATAATGTTTCGGCACGATTGGGCGATCCCTACCTGTAGATGTGTTACAAAGTAAGGTTTCCTTACCTGTTCCCATCTGTTTGATGCGTAGTTTAAGTGTTGTGGACGATAACTCGTGCTGAAGATCACTGTCTTCTTTTTGAAGCTCGGTGAGTTTAAGAAGGTCGATTCCTTGGAAACTGTTCAAGGAAGTTATACGAGATAAAGCGTCTGCAACTACATTGTTTGCTCCAGAGATGTGTTGAATATCTGAAGTAAACTGCGAAATGTAGTCCAGTTGTCGAGACTCACGTGGAGAGTACTTGTCAGACGGAGAGCTTAACGAGAAAGTGAGCGGTTTATGGTCCGTGAAAAGAGTGAATTCACGACCTTCGATGTAGTGTTGGAAATGCCGTACAGCACAATACATAGCTAGGAGTTCCCTACCGAATGTGCTGTACCTCGATTCGGTGTCTAGCAACCTTCTTGAGAAAAATGCCAAGGGTTGCCAGGAGTTGTTAACCCATTGTTGTAAGACTCCTCCGATTGCCGAGTCGGATGCGTCTACTGCGATGCTAATGGGTGCTCGGGTGTCCTGATGTGCGAGCATCGTTGCTTTAGCAATCAGTTCCTTAACTGTGGAGAATGCTTTTCGTGCGGTGTCGTCCAAATTTATGGATTTCGCATTTCCACGAAGTTGGTCGGTCAGAGGTTTCATAAGTAATGAGCATTTCGGTATGAAACGTCTATAGAAACTTACCAGGCCGTTAAACGTGCGTAATTGCTTGACGGTGGTCGGTTCTGGGTAATCCAGAATGGCCGCCACTTTGGTCCTAAGAGGTCGAATGCCTTGAGCATCGATAGTGTGTCCTAGGAAGTCTAACGAGTCGGTTCCGAATTGGCATTTCTGAACGTTTACAGTTATGCCATGTTTTTGAAGTCGTTCGAAAACAAGATCCAGATGCTTGAGATGTGTTTCTCTGTCCGGACTTGCGATTAGACAGTCGTCAACATACGCGTGTACGAAGTTGAGACCTCGAAAAACGTCGTCTATGAATCTTTGGAATGTTTGAGCAGCATTCCTTAGACCGAAAGGCATTCGCAAAAATTCATAGAGTCCGAAGGGAGTTATGATAGCTGTTTTCGGCATGTCGTCAGTAGCCATAGGGATTTGGTTATACGCTTTAACCAAGTCGATTTTCGAAAAGACAGTTGTACCTTTCAAGGTAGCTGTCAAATCGTGAATGTGAGGCAACGGGTAACTATCGGGAATGGTTTTCGCGTTCAATCGCCGATAGTCACCAGTTGGACGCCAATCGTTGCTGTCCTTTTTAGGGACCATGCGCAACGGAGATGCATATGGGCTACTTGACGGTCGTATGATTCCTAAGTCCATCATGTGATCGAATTCGTTTTTCGCTAACCTTAGCTTTTCAGGAGCTAGTCGTCGTGCTTTAGAGAATACAGGGGGTCCTGTAGTCGTAATGTGATGTGTAACATTGCTGGTTACACACGGTAGTTTCGGTTGAGGTTGTTGTATCCCAGGGTACTTATCGAGTAGTGGTTGATAGAGTGGGTCTATCATATGTTTAACTGTGACTGGGGATACTCTACAACCAGTAAAAGAAGTTACGCAAACGGACAAATTAGTGTTTCCGTCTACTAGCCTCCGTTTGCGCGTGTCGATGATCAGATTGTGGTGTTGTAGAAGGTCCATACCAATGATTGGCATAGAAACATCTGCAACAACGAAAATCCAGTGGATGGGTTTGCGTAAACCCACGTTAAGGTAAACGTACCTTTTGCCATACGTAGCGATCGGTTTTCCGTTTGCCGCCTGTAAGTTTAGGGTCGATTCGTGTAGTCGGTCGTTAGGATTTGCTGGGAGAACGCTAACTTCTGCGCCAGTGTCGACGAGGTAGCGAACTCTCGTTGTCACATCTGTGACGAATAACAGACGGCTTTGTTCTCCGGCTACGGTTGCCGTTAACGCGTGCCGGCTTGGAAGTTTCCCGAATTGCTTTTCGAATCAGTCGGTTTCGTGTTGGGAAAATTGCAGGGTTTTCTGCAATTTCTGGAAAACTTTCCATACTGGTTATGATACCAGCACCAGTCGGGGTTATCTGTCTCTCGTGGTCTAGAGACAGATTGCTTACGAGAAATGATTCTACGTGGTGTGCGCGATCTCTCACGGTCGGTACGAAGACTAAGATAACGCGTGAGTGTGTGACATAAGTCGTTTATATCATTCTGAGTCGTTTGAGGTTTTTCTTTGACTGAAAATACCTCGGTAGTAGATTTCGTAATTTCTAAAATGCGGTCGGCAGATGCAGCTAGTTCGTCTAAGGCGTTGTTCTGGAACGAGACCAGAACTGCTTGCACCTGTTGGGGAAGTTTTGACAAGAAGAGTTGTTTGAATAGGCCTTCGTCGAAAGTTCTTGGGCCTATTACCTCTCTCATCCGTTGCAACATGTCCGTCGCAGAACCGTGTTGCAGGTCGATATTGTTGAAGAGTTGATCTAACCTTTGTCGATCGGTTAGGTCTCCTCGTTTAAGAATCGAGCGTTTTAAGATTTCGTAAGGATCGGAAACATCACTAGTAAACATACTAGGTGTTACGTACCTGTTGAATTCGCGCGGTAGTGCCTTGACTACTGCGAGGAATTGCGCACGTGTGTCGATCACGCCGTGCTCGGAGAAGTCGGCTTCTGCGTAGCAAAACCAGGCTTCGATGTTGTCGGGCCAGAAAGGCATCAGTTGAAACGAAGGCGGGGACAAAGTCTTAAGCTTGAGTACTTTAGGTGTCTGTTCAGTCATGATGAAGTATGAAGTACGATAATGAACAAGGGGAAAATATATATATCCAGGAAAAAACACGAAAAAAAATCACAATGTTTAAAAAAGTTAAAAAAATAAGGCAATGATAAATAAAAATCCCAAAAAGGAACAGACTCACAGTTGCAATTAGGTGTACCAGATCACGTCGGTTTCACCAATGATGATGTCACAGGTATTCAGTGTTTGACAACGCTTCTACCAGTAACACCTTCTAATATATTTCGTTCCCGCCCAGAGAAATCAAAAGACAGAGTCGAGGAGATCGGAAGAGTATATTTGGCGATGACCAATATATCGGAATTCTCTGATCTAATCTGGCTAGCGATTGCGGTTGATGTTGAGCACGGCGTTACCACACGTGATCTGGTGCGGATGCCTGACCGAGCGCCTTCAGCTAGGTGAGTCCACTAAAACATATGGTCAGCATCCAATGTCGAAAACTTAGTGCTATTTATTTTGGGGATTTATTTACCGCTACAAATTCAATTAAGTGACGAAAACATTTGAATAACGCTAAAGAAATATATATCTTATATTTAATTTAGTGTGCATTCTATCGACTAGTCGAGTTAGCACAACGTAGACGTGATAAGTTGAATACAAGTAAGACTGAGTACGAGTATAATTCATAAATACATATTAAGAATAGACGAATGGTGAGTGAAGATAGAATACGGATATTGAAATTTTGTAAAAATCATTGTGTATAGAGTGAGTCAGCTCCCATATAAAGGGAAAAGTGTGTAACTGGGACAGTCCGCAAGAAAGGCCCACATAAATCAAATACACAAAAAAAATCATGCGTGAAAAAAGTTCACTTGCGCGAATGACAGAATACCTGAAGGGATCTAGTCGATTTGTCTGTCTGAATGTTAAAATAGGTTAACAAACACTGCATAATACAGTCCGGTACGAATTACGGTAAACTGACGTGGAACTCTGAAAATATCTTCACCAGCCAAAAGTGAAACTACCTATTGTTTGACAATTTATGGAAGCCGTTTTACTACGTTCGAAGGTTATCCAGTTCAGTGTATCTGTATATTACTATTCCATATATTTGAAAAGTATTCCTGTTTCCCGATTTCACAATCTTGTGCTCTAATATCAATTGAATTTTCAATCAAATAAATTAAAAAATTTGGCTGGCTATTCACAGTGGGTAAGTAATCCTACTTTCTGTCCTACAATTTGTTCTGAAACTTCTGTTGTTTTTTATTGAGATATTTTATAAGACCTTGGACTAGCCTCATTGTTTGAGCGGGAAAGCTCCTCAGTAAAAAAACGGGGTTGGTTTGTTTGCATTCACATTCGTTGGTATTCTTGCCAGATTTCTTTTCTCATTACGTCCTAACTCTAGACTACTTCCATTGCAGTCTTACGAGTATAATCGACTGGCAAATTTACAATATTCCGAACTGGTACCAATTTATTTTTCCTACATTATCAATAATATACTTACGTCCCTGCCTGGAGGTATTGGTAATCCACTGCTATTAGACACGAAAGCCCGTTAAGCGACGGCTTCTATTCCGTCCACAACCATTTGAACGGTTAAAATTATCTCTCCGGATGGACTGTCGTGGGCTTCGTTGATTGTCTCCAAACAAACATGGAACCACTAATATCCAAATAAAAAGTGTATAACAGCTTTCATGTCAGCTGTCTAACTTTTTTACGTCATCGGCGGTTCAATATTGAACGAAATCCTTTTGCTTCATGACTTGAACAATTCAAGAACTACGTAATTCTTTTTTGCAATACAGTTGAGGACTGTAATTTTTTATCTGACTACTTTGTGCGACTTTTGTTGTTTGGAAGGAGAAAATAAATAGTCAATAGGACACTTTGCTCCACCTAAACTTTGTGTTTCCTTTCCCCCTCTAGTTAAAGACCCAGTAATCATCGAATACAGTGATTTAGTGGTTATTTTACGTGTCAGTTGACGTAATTCGTCTTTCTAAAGCAGAATATACATTACTCAGACCAATTTATGTACGCAGCTGTATTGCTGGGATTCGGTTTCGGATTCAACCACGTGAAACTTACCTTTTGTCGCATCTCTATAAATGTTGTCAAAGTTAGTGGACCATTCGTTACCCCCTTATGTCCTACAAAGTTTAAGTTCGAAACCTCTGCAAACAATTAAGCTTTTATTCTTACAGCTCCGTTGAAATGTAGGTTAATGGCCCCGATGGTTTACCATATATAACAGTTAAAATTTGTAATTTATTTCTAATACATAAAAGTTGGGAATAGTCACGCGAAACACCAATGTCAAATAAAGTCCTCTTGTTGATACCAGTATATAGGTGATCTTTATCATCCTTTTAAAAGTCTTGTCTAAAATTGTGGTAACCTTGTTTCAGAAGTATATTGAATAAAACTTCCTGTTTGACCATTGTTTCATCCTTCAGATTCTCAGGGGAATTTACTATTTATTTATTATTTATTTGAACACATAAATATTGGTACAAGATGACACCAAATATATACAGATTGCCTACATTTCTTCATTTTAGCAAAATGGATCCAGCCAAATTGCGGAATTTCAGAGTTGGTAGGGCTTTTAGAGCTATGGGAATCGCAACGATTGTGTCTACTGCGGTGACGGGAGTCGTCGTATACATGTATAATAAGAAAGAGATTGCAACTGCCAGGAAATTCTACCAGTATTTTTCCTCTTTTTAACTGTTCATTTTTAGGTCTTACGATCCTCAGTTGGAATGGAATGTTTTATTAAATTCTGGAATATTAAAAACTGTCAATAAAGATGGAAGTCTTGTCGATCTGCAAGACTAAAACTGTGTAGTTCTACTAGCGCATGTAATATGCATATAGACTTGTTTTTAAAAATTGTTTAGTAGACAGATGTGTCGTTTTCTATTAGATCAATCCGTCATATTCAACTTAGGACCTTGAATAAATGTGCATCTGCCCAAGTTGCCACAATACGTCACAGTGAGTGAAAAGTGAACAAGATCAAAAACAGTGAAGTTGGAATGGCATTAAATAATTAGATGTACGGAGTATGTTAGGACCTAAAATCTAGAAAAAGTAAAGCAAAAAATATATCTGGGCAATTGGAATTGATTTTGAGCCTTGTTACCTAAAGTGTTTTGCCGAAGATTGTGATTATCGCACAGAGACAAAAAAGCCTGCTCCTCTTGACGGGTACTTAATTGGTTCCCTCATTGTCAAAGACTTATTGGCTTCAAGTCACACTTTCAGTGTATAGGATGGCGGCAATATGGAGTTGTCCAACTTGGAAAAGGCAGAGGGGACGAGAAACTCACCCCATAAAGAATATCTCTAATGATGATGCTCTGGTGCGGCCGAGGGTGAGGAGAGTCCGCTCTTCCTCTCAAAATACTCTTACACTGCCATTACCAGGGATGTCCTATTCACTGCCTTCTCGCGGCGGGGTTGCTTATTAAATTGAGAGGATGAAAAGCAAACTTCCGGCCCTTTGGCCGCGTTGGTGGACACAGAGTCCACCTAGGGGAGTCAGAAAACCCTGATTCCAAACAATAGTGCACATGGGCTCCAGGATCGTGAGAGAACAAACCTATTGTTGGTCACCGGCATGTTTGGGATGTGATTCTCGCCCTCGAGATGCAAAAGGTTTCTTCAGGATTGGGTTGCATCGACAGGTGAACTAATGATAAGGAGTGAAGTAGTTGAGCGTGTCGACTGCTTCACTTATCTTGGGAGTCTCATCAGCCCTTGTGGTCTGGTGTGTGACGAAATCTCAGCATGGATACAGAAAGCTCGATTAGCTTTTGCCAACTCGCGTCATTTATGGCGTAGGCGAGGTATCTGTCTACCAACCAAAGGACGAATTTACTGCGCAGCAATTCGTTCCGTTCTACTTTATGGCAGTGAAACATGGCCGGTAAGAGTAAAGAATATTCGCAGGTTACTAGTATTCGATCATAGGTGTCTTTGAAACACTGCTCGTATATCCTGGAACCACCGAGTAGGTAATGCAGTTGTTAGAAAACGGGTACTAGGTAAGGATGGAAAATCAATTGATGACGTAGTGAAACCTCATCAGTTGAGATGGCTGGGACACGTGTTACGTATGCCCGACTGCCTCGACGTGCGGTGTTCAGTGGTATAGTAGGTTGGAAGAAAGCTAGGGGCGGCCAGACCAAAACGCGGCACAAATCCATGAAGTCACTGACAAGTGGACTGAGTCATGTTGATAGGTGTAGACTACCTGGTTGGGATCCGCAAGACGATAGCAACCGATGGTTAGAGACCTTGAATACCATGGCTCAAAATCGTTTGCAGTTGCGCAGGTGCATCCACTCTTTGTGCTCTCCCAAATTCTAATCTGGATTCCTCATGTCCTTTTTTCTCTTTCCAAATCTATTTCACTGGATTATACTCCTTGAATAATATCTTCAAACCCTAATGTTTCCGATTACTGCTTATACTCTTACTACCTCTACCACTACGGGATTTGAATTGACAACTGCATCTCTGTGCCAATGTGGCATGGCAACTCGAACTGATGTACGTACGTAAGAATTTCTACGTTGTTACTGACTGACTGGTCACTGGCTTATTTATTTATTTTAACACATAGATATTGGTACAAGGAGGCACCAAGTACATATGCGCCACGCAGGTCTCATTTGATATGTGTGAGGGCTGTGGTGCTGCCCGGATGCCCAAACCGGCTACCGCGGGACGGCATCTCCTAGCGTTGTTCCACTGCTTTGAGAATTAGACCTCCAGATCAAAGGCTCGGGGGTGTGTGTCCCCTAAGAAAACCGCCTGCTTTGGTTTGGGAAGTATTTGATGTAAATGTAGTCGATTCACTAAGTTCGTCTAATGGAACTCGCGAACTTTTCAACCTGATAAGTCCTAATAAAAACGTTTGAGTGGTAGTCGACGTGGTACACCAGGCTATTAAGCTTGGAAAGACAAGTTATAGTTAACATTAAACCATCCTATGACTCACGGAATAGCCATTTCGATACTATCCAGGTGAAACACGTTAGCTGTGCAAAACTTTTGAATGGAGCAATATGCTATTGTTGATTCTGAGATTTAATTCGGAAAATTCGTGACAACTTTTATACGTTTAAAGATACGAGCTAATTTACGCTTGAAATCCAACAAGAGTTTTAGAAAGATCTAGGGACTAAGTATACTCATAGTGACCAATCATTTAGAAAGATTCCAGAAGTCATACATAGAATTCTGAGAGTATAGACTGGCTACTTTATGACCGATTATTCTGTTAAGATTTCTTAATCCCGAAGTTTTAGCGGCGGAAACTATTGATCACACTGGAACTTGTAAGTTGATTGTTTGCTGGTTTTTTGTATCTTGGTGGGAAGATCCAATAATTACTGGGTGTACGTAAAGTAGATAATTAGTGTTGCAGGATTTTAGGATCCGTTTCATTATGAAGCGGGTGGACTTGTTGGTCTCTACTTGTCAATTCAACGAGACAGTCAGTCAGTAACAACGTAGAACTTCGTACGTACTTACATCAGTTCGAGTTGCCACACCACCTTAGCACAGAGATGCAGTTGTCGATTCAAATCCCACAGTGGTAGAGGTAATAAGAGTATAAGCAGTAATCGGGAAGATTAGGGTTTGGAGATGTTATTTAAAGAGTATAATCCAGTGAAATAGATTTGGAAAGAGGAAAAAAGGGACATGGAGAATTCAGATGATTAGAATTTGGGAGAACACAAAGAGTGGATGCACCTGCGCCATTGCAAACGATTTTGAGCCATGTCATTCAGGGTCTCTAACCATCGGTTGCTATCATCTCGCGGTCCCCAACCAGGTAGTCTAAACCTACAAACAAGACAAAAACCCATAGAAGCTTTAGTTTTACAGAGATAAAATCCGTTTAGGTCTTATTATTTGACTTTCAAAAGTCGCACTACATATCAAATAATACATTCATTTGCAGTTCCTAATATTTTCATTTGCGATGGATGTCGTTCGAATGGTTGTATGAACCCATTAGCAGTTGTCAGGGTACATTTTGTAGAAAATAGATAGCAGTTAGTGTTATCAGATTTGTACGTTATATAATAGCAGCTGGTTAGGTACGATAAACAAGTAGCGTTCCGATGTATTTTTTGTTTGGCATCTACATCAGTTTTTTATTCAACAACTCTGGTTTGACTATATTGTGATATTGACTAACATCATTTGAGGCTCAGTGTGATCAACTAACGAGTTATCAGCATAGTCGGTTGTTAGAATGTCCAGTATTCTGTTGCCAAGTGGTACGCATTGCAGCGCTGGGGTATTTTATAGTTAACAGCATAAAGAAGGTGAGCAGATAGTTGTCCCATTCTAGTGTTGTTTTGGTGTTTTGAGCAAATGGGGCAAAGTATATAGTGATTCTTTTAACATGAGGCGACTGAAGTAGGTAGGGAAATGTTTACACGTTTCACATCCGATATTGGATGCAGATAAAGGAATACTTGTCGCTTGGAATGTGGTAAGAATTAATAGTTGTCCCAGGCCGTGAATTAATTTTCCGACTCGAGTTTGTTAGCTTCTGTAGATTATTGTCTAAACTACAAGATAGTGGGTCAGTCGATTTTATATTTCTCTATACCGACTGTGTTGTTGAGAGGATTTCTCTGTTGCCATTAGTTTGATTCATGTACAAAAGAATTGATAATATGAAATTAAGAATGCAACGATTAAATATATGTAACAAATGGCCTGTAAATAGTTTAGTAATATAAATGATCTCATTCATACGAATTTTATTGGATGTGGTCTTCCACTAACTATATGGGAAGAAAGTATTCCACCATGATCATTGAATAAAATAACTTTAATCACTATCATTCACCTAAACTCGTCATCTAGAAACAGCTGTATTTACTCTGAGAATAATTGTAAGAAAATAGGTTGACAATTAAGGTGGAAAATGCTTTACTGTACAAAGAAAATATACAAATCAGCTGTTTTCTGTCTTGAAATATTTAAAAAGCCAATCGACTAAACCTTGGAAACTTCCAATACTATGCAAAATTAATCTATTTGTTTTGTCCAGAAATGGTTCCATCATCCAATATGCTTGTTGATGAACAGTTACAAAACTTGTGCCTCCTGTATATTGTGTAGATAAAAGTAACCAATCTTCATATAAATAGCGAAGTGAGTTTTCATCCTCGATATAATTTGGAGTAAAAAGATGTGGGAATTTCAACAAGGCCCTACCAACCATAACACCTGAAATAAGTAAATGATTTAGAACAATTCCTTAGGGGTTTCCAAATATTGATATATATTTATATATAAAGAGCTGAAATACACTACTGATAGCCTCGAGATAGGCCTCATAAATTTTGCACTATGGAGGATAACTCGCTATTATGAGCTAAGTGAAATATAGCAATGTTTGGTTCTTAAAATCCGCGAAATCGACAAAAACACCTGTCGTGCAACCAAACAGTCAACATAAGATGGTGCTCGAGCTAAATTACAAGGAAAACGCGCTCCTGGTGCAGATTGTATGATTCAGTGCACGGCTACGGATGTTTAGTGTAGCTCAACAGCAAAATCTTAGAATATGCGTATTACAACTACCAAACGTATCCACTTTAAGTCAACATGTCAGAAACAGTAGTCGTGGTGGCTACAATTAACGAGTGCAGAGGTGCTATTTGTGACAAGAAGACATCACCAAGGATAATAAGGGAAACTCAGTGGAAGGCGGATTATAACTAGTTGGTGCAAGTATTAAAATTCATGGGTGGGAGAGGCTGTGGTAGAAGTATACATTAGGGGCAAGTCAATCAGAACGGAAAAGGCGCGAAAATCCAGATATTATGTACATACGATCGGTAGGATCACCTTTGAAAACTGCTCAGAATGTTCAGCAAGATGAAGAAAAATAGTTTCTTGAAACTTGTTTCTATACTATGCCCTCCTGTAAATCTGGTGATATCATTACACGTTCTCCAAACATAAGGGATTCTCCAACTGAGCGCAGAGATTACCATTGCTGGAGTAGGTGTTTTAATTCTCCTAAGGACGATGGACGTTTATTTTAAAGGTAATGAATCTCCTGTTGAAACGTTTCCCTCTTTGTAGTATCTGCTACCTGGCAAGCCGTTTTGGAAAGGGCTCTCATTGCATCCATGAGACTCGTCTGCATAATCTGTAATAGAAATCACAGCAACAACAGAATCTTCATAAGTATTGGGGTAATTACTAATTGAGCGATAGGGCGTCCGCGTGACCGAAATCTGTCCGATGATACTGAGTGTCGAAACCATCGAACGCCCCCAAATGCCCTGGTTTGGCCGAAAGTGGGGTGGGCCCACCCTCTCTCTCGAAATGCTCTCACACGGCCACGCTTATACAGCCTCTGCCAGGGAAGTCCTACTCACTGCCTTCTCGTGGCGGGGGTGTTTACAAAATTGAGAGGACGAAAAGCGAATGTCCGGCGCTTTAACCGGATTCCAAATCAATGGTGCACATGGGCTCCAGTATCCTGCTGGAACAAATGGCGTAAGAACCAATCATTGGTCACCGGCTACCATGAGACTGCATCTCCTCACGATGCTCCTCTGCCTTGTGGGTTAGACCTTTAGGTCAAAGGCTCGGGGTGTGGCGCCCCTAAGAAAACCACCTGCTTCGGTCTGGGCACCCGGGAGTATCACAGCCCTCACACAAATCGAATGATTTATGTGGTGCATATCTACTTGGTGTCTTCTTGTACCAATGTTTATGTGTTTAAATAAATAAACCACCGAACAGTGTTGTCGCCCACCTGTGAAGTCGGTTTGCGAAATGCGCCGTACAGCAGAAACAGTTGCCAATGCTTCCTTTTGATCTAACACCAGCGTTTTTCCGCCTTTGTTAGTGATCTGGATGAGTGCATTACTGTTTTTTCCATTGAAAATTTGTGTGAAACTACCACATCATATACAGATGCATCTGCTGCAACTATTAGTGGCATCGTGATGAGTTAGTAGAAGATGAGATCCAAGTAGTGCTTTCAATTCTTCAAAAGCTACTTGGCACTGTTCTGTCCGTTCCCACTTGGTATTCTTTCCAGGTATATGATTAAGTAGTGTTCGCTTTTCATGTAGGGAAGGGAAAAATGAGGAGTAATAACGAACGTAGAGTCGGCGGATCGTATGGGGCAGACATTTTCTTGGTAGTCTGGATATTTTCAGGGTCAGAGCGTTGTCGAAAGCTAACAAATATAAACCTGGGGTACTTCACAGATTTTTAGTCGGTCATATAATTCTTAGGATGTTGTAACCATGAATATATCGTCTAAATAAACAACTATATTTGTAATGCCAGTTAGTTGCTGGAATATCGCTGATACCATCTTCACTCCAAAAAACAGTTGATTATAGTGAACTAAACTTCGATGTATTTATGGTCAGTAACTCACGGCATCAATAATCGACCTCTTCATGGAGATAGGCTTCAGCTAGATCTAGTTTTGCAAAGTAGCTTCCACCGATTAAGATGGTAAAAAGATCATCCGGAATTGGTAAAAGGTTATGGTGTTGTTTTAGAGCAGCATTTAATCCCGTCGAAAAGTCTACGCAGACCCACAATGTACCATTTTGTGTCTTGGTGACTATTATAAGGGCTGCCAAAACTGAGAATGAAACTGGTGATAGAACACCTTGTTTTTCTAGGTGTTGGAGTTCTGCGTCCACATACAGTAATGATGTATAAGGTACTGATTTTTTTGTCGGAACGCTGGATTTGCATATTTTTCCAGGTGAAGATTTACTTTCATTGTAGTGCAATTCCCCAAACCTTCTGCAAAAAGTCTATAAATTGATTTATGATTTTTGTGATATACCGCTGCTATTCTTTACTTAAAATTTTGTTGAATACGTCTCGTAATGGAGTATCTTGAAGTCCAAAACTATCGCACCAGTCTAAAACTAATAAATTTGGTACTATTTAAACTTGTGTTAATTTAATTAAGTTATTTATTTACTCTGAACAAGTGGCTTACTTTAAGTCATGAAACGTTAGAAATACAATTTTTCTACTCATCGGGATATGATAACAAATATATTTATAACTAATAAATTTAAGTTATCACCTGATATGTAACATATTCCACTTATAGTCAAATCTTTGAGTGTTACTGAGCACGATAGGACTCCGATGAGTTTCAGTTTATCACCTGCCGCGCTCACTGCAAACTGACTTGTAGGGTGCAGACTGTATTTCCCCTTTTGAGTTCACCTTTTTCTGGAAAGAATGTTTATATTTGAAGCGGTATTTAATTGTATTCTTATCAAATAGCCATTTATCAGAACTTCAATACGCCTCCTGGTCGGCCTTTTGTGCACTTGATTTACCGTAAATACAGGGAAACATTCAAATGGTTTTATATTTGATATGCACCTTCTTCGGAAATTTGACTTCCGGTAACTTTTACTGCTCGTAATAAGTCTCGATGTCCAACAATGTAACATTTCTAACAGTAATGGTTTTTAAACGGAAAGAATCTTGCGAAATGCCAAGCACCTGACGGGAAAACTTTAGGCTTCTCTTTTGATGGTTTTTCGTGTAATGATTTGGATGCTGGGGTCATGGAATTAGGACTTCATTTACTTTGTACTGCTTGAACGTCAAGTCTATTTTGATCACCGGAATGGACTAAGTTGGTTTCGTGTTTGAGGTTCGTTAATCGTTGATAACCTTCAGCAACTTCATTAAGTGTTAACGTTAGGTCCTGATGAAAACGATGTTACAGTCATGTACGAATATCCGTAAATATTTCGAGCTGTAAACTACAGGTAAGTAATTAATGATTTGAATTGGTCTTCAGAAAGAGTTTTTAATTTGAACTGCTCTCAGTCTTGATTAACTATTCCAACATGTGTGAGAAAACTGTCCTCTTTGTTCATTACTAATTTCATGTATCGATAACGAGAATTAAAAATCGACGACCGATCACCAAACAACTGACCAAGTGAAGTGATAATATCTGCAGAAGTTCTTTCACGTAGATTTCGAGACAATATAATGTTGCAACATTTGTCAAGTTCTTCTGCACCGAGCTTCCGTTAAAGAATACGTACTTTCCAAGAAACTTCGTGATCGAACTCAACATCAAACATATCTTCGTAACGTCGAAACCAGGTGTCAAATATTACATCTGAGGATGGGTCATAATTAAATTCAGCAATATTATCGAGCTTAGATACAAATACAGGGACTGGACTAAAACCATTAGGTTTCACGGCGAGCACCAAACACACCAATTGGTCAACAATGACTATTTTTCATAAAGCTTAATGATTATCCAATTCCACAAAAGAGAGAGCGCTTTACGAACGGGAAGTCCAGGCATAACTCAATTAGCATTTATCAAATCTTTGCCGTGTTGTTACGCAACAAAAGTACCATTTTCGATCCAAAGAATGTGTCCCGATGGTAACATTCTTTTTGAATTTTATCCACGCTAAAAGTTGACTATATTTTCGCCTCAGCTTACTATTCGGTTTTTCAGTTTTTTAGGTCAAGGCTAGTTTTAGTGTATCGTAATCTTTTGCACCACCCGTTTTTACCCATTTTATCCGTTCTGAGTGTACTATTATTTGTTTTACAGTTGTAAATGTTAGCTAGAATCTATTAATCAATTCACTATAGTCGTGAAGAATCCATGAAAGCGACCAGGATGCCACGTCGCTTTCACCTTTGATATGCAGTGTGACAAATGCAAAGGTTGGTTCCACGAAACATGCACAGATCTCACAGATTTAGTAAATCGAGTCGTAGGTGGGTATGTGGTACGTGCAACATGAATGCTGAGGATTTGCTAGGCAACATCATCATTCTCTTGAAAGGTCTACCAAAAACGTCAGCAAACCTGAAAATACGTAGTCCTAAAACGGGTAAACAAAGACGCGTAGTGAGGAAAAGAAGAGGGACCTCGACAACGTCAATATCGACAGAACATGTATCGACACTGATGACGATATCCTGAAGCTCAGCAACATCATAACATTGACAGTACTTGACTCTCTCAGCAAACTCGTACCTCCCTAAATCCAACGGTGGCCCCCAGGAACTCTGTAGACCATTGGAACCCCGTCAACAAATTTAAAAAAGATCGAGTGTCACCATCTAAAAAGTAGAGCATTCCAGGTTTTGTAGTGAAGCCAACTGGTGATTTGGCTGTACAATCTCCCCCTAAGATTATCCAACCAGTCATCAAAGAGCACGGGAATCCGAAACGCATTTCAACTACCAAGTAGAAAGGTCCCCAACCTGAACGCACCCGAAAACCTGTGAAAATGATCATGGTTCGCGATGATTCTCTCATAATCATAAACCTAAAAGAAGCTCTGACCTTCCTCTTAGTCTTCAAGAAAATGAGGACAAAATGCTTTGGGAAGAGCTAAAAAGGAAGCTCAAACTTCCTAAAATAGAGCCTCTGACGGTTACACGGAAGGACTCCTTCGTGTAACGCTCAATGACACTGCCGACGTAGAGGATGTTCTGCTAGCTAGTCACTTACTGGACTCAGATGGGAATGTAAGAATACTGCCTGATATACTGTATTCTGAGCGCAATATCGTCAGGAACATTCCTGAGGAGTCTTGCGCGATGTTTTCCCGCAGAAGAAATAACATTGTGCAAGGTGTGCCAGAAAACGTGAACCCTTCCTTCTCAGACTCCGATATTCGGGATTCCAAATTCATCATTGAAGCTCATAAAGATATTTACTCGACAGTTGGTGAGACCAGCCAAGATGGACGGGGATTTTAGACTTCGGCTGATGAAAATAACCTCTCCATCTCCCCATATAGCGGCTACAACTTACGAAGCATTTCGTGCCAACGGACGCTGGTCGCCAACTGAAATCCATATACATCCGGATAGGCCAAATGATGCCAGGATCAAGTACAATACCCAACTCAAGCTGACTATTCCGCTTGTGGGCTATCAAGATCATGAAAAAGAACAAAGAAAGGACAGTGGCTACCAACTCGGAAAACCATGTGTAGATAGGTTACCTGTTTATTCACATAAGATTCATACAAATAAACAGGACGGGGAAGCTCACGCGTTTTCAATTGAAAGTACAAACTGCTTATATATGAACGCCAGGAGTTTACCGAATAAAATGGATGAAATGCGCGAACTCAGTAATAATAACAATACTCAACTGGAAGGAATATCTGAAACATGGATATCATCTCAAATTACAAACCATGAGCTAGCAATACTCTGGATTTCTTTGTTACGCAACGACAGAAAAACAGCATTGAGGATGGAGTAGCCTTTTACCTGCGATCTTGCTTGAAAGTAGATCAAGCGCACAACTAAGAGTCTGTCAATCTTGACGAATCTGTATGATGCTCAGTAAAATTGTCTAACACCTCGAGGTGTCTAGCTGGTCCCCGAAATCTACAAGCAACCTACAGTAATCAAGAACCGCACTCTTCGATTGCTAAGTCGTAAAAGGCCCTATACTGGGTGGAATATTGTAGTGAACAAGAACACGAGTGGGGACAATCTAATGCATTCGACACGAAATTACAGAGCATCTCATTAAAATCTGAGAACCATATAGTAAATAGTTAATTTGCAAAATATCAATCCATCGTCTTAAACTTGACTGTTCTTTTTTCAAATATCAGTCCATTGTCTCAGATTTCATTGTTCATGCATTTTCATACCGATTGCGTTCCGTTCCCGTTCTTTCCCTCTCGATCTTCCACTGAAATACATCCTATGCCTGACCACCGTTATATACTACTTATGTGACCCATACAACAATACAAACGAACTGGTAACAACTGTGCATACAAGCAATTCAAACAAGCAAGGAACATATGGACAAAAGCAATAAGAGAAGACAGGCTTTGGTATCAGATAAAGCTTATCGACAAATCTGTCTCCAATCTGAAAATCTTATTCTGTCATGCAGTTTTTCTTCGGCAAGCCGAAACCGGAGTTTCCCAACTGCTAGGTTATAATGACTCAACCAAAAACGGCAGCGACACCGCCGACCTTCTCATAGAGCGGTACTTTCGGACATTTCAACCAACCTATACTAACTATATTGATGAGAGCTTCACATACAACTCAACGGGACTCAGAAGTGAACCTGAACGCTGATTTGATGTACCGAAAACTACAGCATCTAAAAAGAGACACTTCTCCTGGCCCTTATATGGTCCATTATGCTGAGGGGAACAGCTTCAATCTTGACAACACTGTTTAGTGTGATGTTCTCACATTCTCTAAACCGAAGCACATCACCAGGAAATTGGAAGCTGGCTCACATAACACCAATTTTCAACGGAGGTCGATGCAGCGAATCTTCGAGGTACCGGCCGATAGCACTTCTCTCTATATCCTCAAAAATTACAGAGTTTTTGATATGTGACGATTTACACGACTACTTACTATCCATAAACTTATTTCCACCCCAACAGCACGGTTTTAGGAAAGGTCACTCTTGTATAACCAACCTGCTGACCGCAGTGGACAGATGGACAAATATCCATAATTACAAGGGGAAGGTTGATGTAATATACCTTGATTTCTCAAAATCTTTTAATAGGGTCGACCATATATGTCTTATCAATAAGCTCAAACGATTAGGTATCAGATCACCTTTAGTTGATTGACTCACTTCATATCTAAAAAGTCGGCCAGGGTTAACTTCACTTTCTCTCAGGCTATGGAACTTCCCAGTGGAGTCCTCCAAGGTTCAGTACTAGGACCTATTCTTTTATTGACTTATACAAACGGTCTTCCACAGCAGATGTCGTCTGATTCACTACTTTTCGCTGATGATGTGGAACTCTGATGGGAAGTATGCAACAAGAGGATAATCTGGCACTTCAGGAGGTTCTGACTCGAATTCATAGTTGGGCAGATGACAACTTACCTTTAACACTTCAAAGTGTAAAGTAGTCTATCTGAGACATGTTTCGGACTACAAATACAACTTAGGTAACTCCCCTCTAGGGTTATCTTAAGTTCAGAAAGAACTCGGAGTGTTGTTATTCTACGATCTGAAGTCATACGCTAACTACGACAAAAATGTCTTTCGAGCAAACCTTGCACTGGTAACGTAGAAGCGCATTTTCGACCAGTTCGACGGAAGAACTTTCCACATTATCTTCAACAGTTTTATACGACCCCGTTTAGAGTACGGAAACAGTATTTCCTTCCTCACTCCAAAATGATAAGTATACTGGAACGTACCCAACGGCGAGCCACGAAATCAGTCCGGGGACTCAAATCCAAATCGTATTAAGAGCGCCTTCAGTCACCAAACCTTTGCTCATCAGAGTGCAGGAGTCTTAGAGGTGACCTTCTAACGACTTACAGCATCTTTAATACTTTTAGGCATCCCCTTAAACACCAACCTAAGCCTATTCCCAACACAAAGCTTAAGGGTAACACCCAGAAACTAGAGACACAAAACAGCAGAATGGACTGTATGCACACCGTCTACTCCTTAAGAACAGTCAAATGTTGAAATTCGCTGCCGGCTGAGCTAGTCCAAGCGACATCCCAGGAGTCTTTTAAGAGGAAACTTGACATGTTCTTAAGGACTGAAACAGTATCTTACTATGATTCGCTAATTTTTTCCTTTTCCTCTTTTGTTGTTAACATACCTAGGTACTTACGTGGAGGAATCGGTGATCCACTGCCACTATATGAAGAAAATAGTTAAGTGAATGCTTCTATTTCGTCCAGAACCATGTGAACCATCAGTGACGATTGTCTCATTCTTTATTTGGTTAAAATACATCGGTCAAAATTTGGTGATTAAGTCGAGAAGCTTCAGTGTATGAGAAAAATGTTCCAAAGACTAATCCCTAAATGATCTATCAGTGGTGCTTCGACTTGGGATAAATTTAAGAATCCCGGTAGTAAAAATTACTTAGGTCGGCGAAGCTATCTGAAAATTGGTTCATAAAGTATGTGTGAAGAATTTTAGGGGATCAGTTGTTATCACCTTGTTATAAGGAAAAGTAGTATGGTAACATTTTCTTACATATCACATTTCCAGTTAAGGACTCACCATGACAACCGGTCATTTCCTGAGCACAATATGCATCGTTTAGTACACGGACATCACCATTCAGTATTATTGGAATATCAGTACCCAAGTAAGAATGTTTAATTTTACAGTCGACCAATTCTTGAACCACATTCCATGAAGCACAGTCCCTGCTACGTTGTTGAGGTGTTCTTGTATGTAGTGTAACCCAGTCAACACCCATTACAGATAAACGTCGGACAAGTTCAACGGTAAGTTTGATCTATAAAAAATGTATATTTTAGTTACATAGATTATTTAACACACGATACTAAACACATTAAGGACGTTCTTTTCTACTAAAGAAGAGGTAGTACGTATTACTAGGATGTATTAGAAACATTTATTCATATTTGGATACAAAAAATAATTAGGAATAATATCTATAATTAATTTACACTTGATACAGTCTTTCAATCCGATAACTACAAAAAACCAGCATATAAAATCGATTGACAAAAAAGAGCTTTATTAACTCCCATTTAGTATTTCTAGTTATTTGCTTATCGAAAAAAGGAGATGTACAATAGGAATGATATTATTAACGATATAAAATAAGATTTTGTCTAAGTACTACGGAAGTTTAGGAAATATATATTGATAAAGATAAGTATTTTTCGACTTGAAACTACTACAATCAGGATTTCTAAATAAAATATCAGTTATCTCAGAGTAATTTCATAAGATATGGCGACAGTGATTTCCTCATCGATCTAAGCAAGTTGCTTTCTGATATTTTTAGTATGATATGAGGATACAATCATTAACTGTTGAGATTCCGTAGCTGTATTTAGGTTAGAGCAGATAATTTTCGAGCTAATTTCAATGAAATCATCAACATACATTTGAAAGCAGACATCTAAAGAGTCGGTTTCAAATAATATAAAAAATGTGTACTGTTAGTCATAAAACATGTTGTTCTGAAAAGATTTGATGTAGCTTCGTTGGACGACTAGGTTAATCGGGTAAACCGAATAATGCAAGATAGATTTCCTGATATTTACAAACGAAACAGGAGAGTTTTTCTATATGAATATAGTAAATACAAAAAGAATTAAGCTTATCTTTTTTATTGACTCAATAGTTAACCTAATTTCGTAAAGTATATAATAAACTTAATAATGAAGTACAATTTAATGCATTACACTTTTTCTATGAATACTAGTGATTTTAACTGTTGCAAATTCCGTCTTATCCAAACCGAAATATATAAAGAATACCTTTGGGATTGTCAATATAAAAGCTGAATATACCCCTAATTTCTGAATTATTGAGTAAACTAGTAAAATTTTGAGGTATATATTGTTATTAAGTTATTAGGTCTATATTCCATTAATTTATATTGAACGATTCAATTTAGCAGGTGAAAGTGAAGGTTTCCTCCACTAAGTCTTCGTTCACTTCAATAGTTTTATTACATCATTATGGTATTGGTGAGTAGTTCTGTTTCCTGTTAGGTGATGAGTTAATAGTTGATGTATCCACCACTTGAGTTATGGCCTTAATTTTCACAGATTATATATTCTGTCTTAGTAATTTTATAAAAACTAGTGAAATTTTATCGATGAACATTAAAATGGTACTGAGTGAGATTTTCTTTTTTTTTTAAAATGAATAGCCTTGATTACGCTATTAGTATTCCTTCACCAAAGTACATATAACTATATTACTACCGGATGAACGAAATAGACTATCTGAAAAAAAGACAGTTCAATAATTAAGTTATATCTAGAGCACAAATAAATGTTAAAAAACGCATGAAAATGTTTTATCACTAACTGGATCGCATGAACTTCCTTCTCCAACAGATCTATTACTTGTAGTTGGTATACGAATTTTAGCAGAAATTGAGAATGGACCATGAGATCGTGTTATAGACCTAAATTTATTTTCTGCTTTGTTATTTTTATTTGAATCCTCTATATAGTCTAACATTTTACAACTTTCCATGTGAGAATTACGCCATCGCGGAATCGTATTTCGAGCGGCATGTACAATATTGGCAACTTTTTCAGGTTCTTTTAATAGGGCTGATCCTAATCCACTACCTATCGCCCAGCTAGAATAGGAAATGATAATGATAGCATGAAAAATTTAGTTCAAGATACTTAACTAATTTTGTATTCAAACACTAATACATGAAGGAAGAATATTCTTTTCAATAGATTCTGTTCAGATTCTACAATTATATATCTAAATTAATATTACAAAGTGATCAGACTTAAGGTAAGTACATCGTTTAAAACATCCGCATGCAGCTTTTCTAGGGTTACTGCCGGTCACAAACCCGGATAAAAGAGGAGCGTTAGGTATAGGGTCACCAACCATATTTCGTAGAAAACAACCTTGCTAAAAAACGCTAACCAGAATAAACAATTTAAATCATTTGAACTCTGTTCTCCGAGTTGAAGGATCTTCATTCAGACTAATTATGATGCCTCGTGGTGAAAGCCGAGAATCTGTGAAAGTCACCAGTTCGATGCCCCTTCTAGCAACCAGAGCATTAATCAATATATGTATGTGGAATGTACGGACAATATGACAGACCGGACTAATCAAATAGGTGTGGAAATGAGGAGATACAAGTTGGCGGTTATCGGAATAAGTGAAGTCCAATGGATGCAGACTGGACAGAAAAGATTAGATTTGGGAGAGGTACTGCTGTACTCTGGGTCACGAAGAAGAAAATGCTTCGCACACTCAGGGAGTTTCTCTGATTCTGTCCAAAAAAGCACGTATAGGTTGCGAGTTCCATGGACCCAGGATCATCAAAGTCTAATGAAGAATCTGAACAACTCGATATTAGTCCATTTAGTGCAAATTGGTCATAGTGCCAGTATAAGCCAATCTTTCTCAATTACTTAACGAGTCAGTAATTTTCGTCAAAGTTTGTCAGATTCTAAGTCTTTCAAACGGCAGAAGCAGTAGTCATCTAGATTAAAAAATCGGAGCTGGCGGCATACCGATTCGAACAACACATATAAGCGAACAATATTGTTTTCAATTAGATCGTCATCAGGCTTTACTCTAATATACATGAATATTTATACGAAAATGTAAACCAATCAAGGCAATATGGGTCAATAATCACAATGAAATAGAATAAGTCTCTACACATAATAAGTAAAATTACAAGTTGATAGTAGAAAGACAGGTATACTGATAGTAGTAAGAATAATAAAATACGATAACAGAAGTCTTATCAATAATTTAAAGTTGGGAATAGAAGGTCAAACGTGGGTAAATAGACTTGAAATAGTCAACACAAAACATTTAAATCAATACGTAATAAGATGTGTGTAAATAATTAGATAGTGAAGAATACAAAGAGGCGGAAAATTACAAACAAATATTGGATGTGGAAATAAGGTTAATGATAACAAAATAGAATAAAATAAATAATAATAATAAAATTTTTAAAAAAACATATCGTTAGTTAAGTTATAACTGGCCATGGAAGGGATAGGGGGGTTACATATTTCTTCTGTATACATAAATTGGGGTTATATGTACGAATTTTAATGGCTTCAGCTATATGTAGGAGGCGGGAAAGAACTCCGTCGGGAAATGATGGAGGTATACGATAAATAACTCGAAATGATTTCGATTTATCTACAGCATGACCACTATCAATGAGATGTGCCAAGATAGAACTGCGAATAGATTTTATCTGGCCCTTTATGTACCAAGTAGGTAGATGTTCACTCATTCGTTGGCTAAGTTGCCTGGTAGTACGCCCTATATAGCTATCTCCACAGGAGCAGCTGAATTTGTAAATGCACATAGAAGAGGTCAACTCAGGTAACTTATCCTTCGTTTGAGTAGACATCGCTAGTCGACAAGAGAAGGTCAACGCAAGATTGGCTGCGTAGAATGTCTTGGTGATTACTTTAGTTAACCTATATTTCAGAGTGTCACTTGCCACATCCCCGTTGAATTGCACTTTCATGTATAAAGGTTTCTTACGAACAGTCAAAATCTCCGACTTCTTTATTATGTCATACATGTACTTCTTAATGAAAGCACTGGGGTAGCCGATCTCGGTCAGTGAGTTGTTGATAAATTCAAGCTCCTGACTTAGAGTATCTACTGTACAGATCTGTTTTGCTCTGCTAGTGAGACATCTCACCAAATTTCTCTTATAACGGATAGGTGTGAAACTGCAGAAGTGAGTATATTGGCATGAAGAGCGGTTTCTTCTATGCACGCTTCTACTTAATGTGCCGTCACTTCGTCTGCTTAGTGTGACGTCAAGGAAGTTCAGCTTCTTATCATGCTCGCTTTCACCAGTAAAAGTGATCGCTGGGTGAACACTGTTGAATTCTTCTAGGAGTTCCTCCTTACTGGTGTTTTGATCTACGATAATGAAGGTGTCGTCAATGTAGCGGCAATATAAATCCAGTTTCTTAATAGTCTCATTGAGAGGTCCATTTTCTAGCTTTGCTAGGAAGAGATCAGTTAAAATCGGGTCTAGAGGCGAGCCCATGGCTATCCCGTATATCTGTCTATAATAAGTATCGTTGAAGACAAAATGTACATTCAGCGTGCATTTTAGCAGCAGTTCCTTTAGACTGTCGTTAGGCAAGCCAATGTTGATTTGTTTTCCTGATATTTGCTTGCATATACACTCAATAGTCTCTATAAGTGGTACGTTGGTGAACAAAGATCTTACATCCAATGAGATCATATTCTTCATACTAACATTAATATTTTCCACTTTGGAGGTGAAGTTGAAGACATCTTTTACACTATTTCTAACAACTGATTTGTGTAAAGGTTCTAAGATTCGTACTAGTCACTTTGCAATTTTGTGGTAAGGAGAATTGTACATATCTAGAACTGGGCGTAGAGGAAGACCCGATTTATGTACTTTAGGCAAACCATACAGTTGTGGTGTAAATGATCCAGTCGGCTTAATTGAATCGTGAATCTCGGTCGTAATCATTCTCTTTTTCTTTAGATCTTTAAGGAAATTGGCCAATTGTCTTTCTACTTTATTATTGATGTCATAATTACTAGTAATTTTCTGAAATTTTCTAGGATCGCTAAGCATTGTTCCCATGTAATCATTTTTGTTCATGAGAACTATACCTCCTCCCTTATCTGGTTTGGTTATGGTCAGGGTTTCGTTTTTTCCTAGTTTCGTTAGAGAGTCTCGGTGCTGCTTGGTTAGTAGGTGATTTGTGGTACCCTTACTATTCTTGTACTGTTGGCAGCTATCAATTAATGTGGTTTTAAACTGAGCAAGATCCTCCAATGAGGTAGGAATCAAGTCAGTTGTTTGTGAAAATAAGTTCTCAAATTGTACATCAGTATCTAATTGGTTGATTCTATGCCTACTATCACAGAATTTAGGCCCCAGAGATAAAGCTTCTAGCTTACCGATTGACATGAATTTTTATTGACCGTATATAGCCATTTAATATCAAATAAAATGGATCATGGAAGTAACTTGGTTCAAAAAATTAAGCTACATAAAATGAATTATTATTAATCGATCACTTAGTAGTCACAGGAACATATTTTCAAGGGCAAATATTCCGACGGATTTTAATGGATTACCTAGTTGAATCTGGTTCGAAAGTCAACATTTCATATTCAATTGATTCATATTTTTATGCTGTAAGTCAATTATATGTAATTAATTTCTGACACAATTTAATTATTTTCTCTACTGTATAATTTATTCAATTCAGTGATAAAATATTTGTCAATACTAAGAGAGATGAATCAATTAAACAAATAGTGGATTATATGCTCTGTAAGATAGTCGACCTTAATAAACAGATTGAATCTGTGTTCATTCAACAAAATTTTACTAACTTCTATTATTTGTCCACCGCTATTTTAGTTTCAGTATTCCTTCATGCATAACTTTTTATCCCGTGTTCCCAAACCATATTCTAAACATTTAATCTTTTTCAATACAATTAGTACTATGATTACTTCAACTAGCTTGCTATTCATTGTGTTAATCTCATTTTATTATGCTGATATGGTATAGGAATTAGGGCTATCACACAATTGTGACAGGCTTTGTGTTGATAATAATCGATATTTGTAGAAAAATTAGGAATGCTTCTTGGCGTTCTGTTGACCGGACCCATTTCGGTATTCTGTTTCAGTAATTAATTCACAGGGACCCGGAGACGATGCAAATTTGGGAGAAAAACATCATAATAACTAACCATTCCCAAGAAGGAACGTAAAACAGATACACCTGTCGATGGAGGCATGGTCTTCATAGCCTCAACGTTTGCTGGATCAGGCTTTCTTCAACAATATTGAATTTTCCTCCAGATACACTATGGGCTAACTGGGTTGTTGGGACCACCTGAGGTTTCCCAATATGCTTCCAGGTTCTTCGGTTAATGAATGTGATGTTGGAAGCAGTGTCGAGCCGCAGGTGGGTACGGTGACCGTCAACCTCGATGTACGTGTTACCATTATTTTTCTGGCTGGTGAATAAGGTTTATGTCTCCTGGAATGCAATCGCAATGAACGACGATACATCTTTTTACAGCAAGATTCTTTATGTTGACATCTAGTGTAACCATAGCCCTTATATGGGCAAAACTGTTATGACCTTGTATATCTGACTTTTCTATCACGCGACTTATCAACCAATCAGGATCCAGCTTACACAATCTTCGCACTATGCCAAACCAATGACGTTCAACCGGTGTGGGCAGTTTAGCGTCCTTATTGGTCCTATGTCCTCCTAACCCTTCCACTTGAATCCAGAACACGATACCAGCTTCTGTAATATGAATCGAATCAGATCGAATCGTTTACTTCAGGCATACTTGGTTTATATATCAATCATACAGACCGCAACGTACCATAAAATAGGAAATAATATTTGTACACAAATAAGCCCAAAAAGTGGCTGTGAATGTGGGAGGCAGTAGTTAATAAACTGAACATAACTTAAGAACCGTAAATCGTACAATAATAAAATATAGGTCAAAATAAAGCTTATAATAAGAGGAATATAAATATACATAGTGTAATTGTTGAGTAGTTATACAATAAGAATATTTATAGAATATTAGTCCATGAATAGTCCTTGGAAGTTACCTGTAATTTAATCTTCACCGGATATAACAAAAACGTTTCTTAGTGCCGCATAACCAGCACGAGGATGGAAGCTGTTTGTTTGAGCTGTTCTGCTTACGTACAAAAGAATCTTCTTGGCCATTTATTACCTGTACGTATGATAGCCGGCCACTGTTTTAAACCATAGAAGTGTCATGTTTTAAGCTTACCAACCTCTGACATTCAATAATCACTTCTTGTAGCGTTATATTCGGACACTTCAATTTTACTCAGAATTCTAGTTCAGATGCCGTCATCTTCAGACGACCGCAAGCTGAATACAAAAACAAGACACTTGAACTGGTCTTCTGTCATTGCTGATAATTTAAAACGCTCACATTTGCGATTTACCATGTTAGCATGTTGCACCCAGTCATCATTTCCAGTTGTTGGTACTATTAAGAGGCCGCAAAAAATCCCACTAAAGCCGAACCACGACCATGGCCAAGACCGGACGCACCTTGACAAAGAATACATGCTAATTTTTTCCGGTCCAATACAGGGTAGAAACTACTTGTTTGCTGTAGATGTTTTCACCAAATGGTCGGAAGTATATGACATGTCGAATACGACGTCAGAGAGTACAATAAGAAAATTATCAGGATTGTTTGCTTGTTTCGGGGTTCCAGAGATCTTGGTAACTGACAACGGCACTCAGTTTATGTCATCTGCTTTTAAGAAGTTTGCAGCGAAAATGGTATAACGCATCTACAGTCTCCTCCGTACCACCCTCAATCGAGTGACCAAGCAGAAAGATTTGTGAATACTATAAAAAGAGCTCTGGCCAAAGGAAGGGGAGAGGTTATTCCAGAAAAAGTGATCGGCAAATTCTTAATGTCCGACAGAGTTACCCCCGATCCGGCAGTGCCAGAAGGAAAGTTACCAGCTGAGTGTATGTTCAGAAGAAAAATTCGGACAGTGTTTCACAGTATGTTGGCGCCCGGCAAGACAAATAAACCTACGAACGAGTATCGGGCGGTCACTCACAGCTTCCAGGTGGGAGGAAGGGTACTTGTCAATGATTTCATGGACTAATGCCATATGTCGGTTTGGCGTCCCTATCTTCCTTCCAGCCTACTCCCACACCACACAACATCGCCTATCGAGGTAGGCGGTGGTTAAGCATACGTAATACATGTCCAAGCCACCTCAGATGATGAAGATTTACTAAATCATCAATTAATTTCCCATCCTCACCTAGTACCTTATTCCTAACCCAGGCTTTGGTTACTCATTGGTCCAAAAATACATGAGCAATGCTTTGTGGACACCTATGACAGAATATTAGTAATCTATGAATATCCTCTGTTTTTAATGGCCATGTTTCACATTCATAAAGTAGAACGGAGCGAATCGCTGCGCATTAAACTCGCTTTTTGATTGGAAGATGGATATCTCGTCTACGCCACAAGTGACGCAGGTTGGCAAAAGCCATTAGAGTCTTGTGAATGTGCGCCGAGATTTCGTCGGACATCAAACCATCAGGACTGATGAGAATGCCAAGATGAGTGAAGTAGTCAATGCATTCAATTACTGTGCTACCTACATTTAAGACATCGATGTTGCCGGTGGTTAGACATATGTAATACATATCTCAACTACTTTAGTTGACAAATGTTAACTGCCTTATAAACTGATTTGCTATCTTCACTAAGTAGCCTGTGTCTAACTTGACCTGGATCAACAGCATACGACTATGAGGAAATAGTTTTAATATGAACAAACCTAAGTAGTACATTTAAATATGGGGGAGGGTGGAAATAAGTAGAAATTAACTTACGGTTGAGGACAACCACAATTTAAGTCAATTCCATCACAATATGGTGCAAGCATTTCCGTGGCTATAGCAAATTCACATGGATCATTTGACGCAAGTTGTACAATCAACGGTCGATCATCTTAAATAGATACAACAACGAGAAGAAAAGAAAAATAAGGAATTTCAGAGGTTGCCCGTGAGACGAAATTGTTTTCAATTTCAATCATTTAAAAACAGCGAAAGAGTCAACATCATGAGAGTAAATTGTTAGGAATGAAAAAGATACGACAAGCTGTAATTAATAGCTTAGACAGTCAATCTGTGACAAGATTTTAAACTTGTTTAACGGAAGAGAATGTTCAATATAAGAATGATGAGAATAAAAACGCATAGAACTGAAATAAACCCTCTCTCTCTCTCTCTCGAAATGCTCTCATATGCTCACGCGTATAAAGCCACTTCCAGGGACGTTCAACTTGTTGTCTTTTCGCGGCGGGGATGTTGCTTACGAAATCGAGAGGACGAAAAGCAAACGTCTGGTGCTTAAACCGGGTGGGTACGGAGGATGCTATCTGATTCCAAACCAATGGTGGACATGGGCTCTAGGATCCTGAGGGAACAAAAGGCATATGGACTCATCCTTGGTAATCGGCTACCATAGGAATGCATCTCCTAACGTTACTCCACTGCCTTGTGGATTAGACCTCTGGGTCAAAGATCTAGGGAGTGACCCTTAACAAAACCACCTGTTTCGGTTTGTGCACCCGGCCAGTATCACAGCTCACACACAAACTAAATGACAATTACTTTGTGTGGCGCATATATATTTTAGTGTCCCTTCGTACCAACGTTTATATGTTTAAATAAATAAGTACTCGCTTTAAATGATTGGAAAAGACTGGAAGATGATATTATATATTTATTCTCCTGGGCAATCATACAATTCTTCCAATACTAAACTTTACAAGAGTATGTAGATTCCTACAGCAAAAGCATGATTCAAATTGAATGGCGTTGTACAGACGGAAAAGAAATTCCAATCATGGTCTAATTGACACTATAAAGACCATAGAGTGACTGTCGTTTTATTAGTCATCATATCAAAATTTGAGATCTGTTATACTACTGAAACATTTATTACCAGGAAAAGAAATCAATTAGAAAGTATCTACAATACGATTAACAACATCTTCAGTGACGTTGAATTTACATCGAATAAGAGATTAAGGAAAAAAAACGGTAGACAAATATCAGAGAGAAGTAGCGACGAAAATGTGAAAAAATTCAATCTACATTGATTAGCTTCTTAATTATAGCAACAAAAATACAAAACGTTCTTGGGTATATTTTGAATGTGACTATGAGTGGAATTCATGACTCGTATTTCGTTTTATTTGATATTGAATGTACCTGCTTTCTAGTAGTAATATTCACATTGAGACTTGAACCGATTATCGTTCACTTTAAACAACAATGTGTTATTTACTGAACTACTAAGTTTAGATAACTACTAACATGTTCAACGGGTATAAAAGTATTTGTAAGGTTTCATAATTTCTCATTGTTGATATACATAACTGCAAACACTATTAACTCTTATTAACTCATAAACACAAAGTGAACAAGTAATTTTTTTTGTAGAATGACTAACTTGGAAAAGAAAAATCTCTCCGCAATCAAAAAAATTAAGTATAAACAAAGAATGTCTAATCAATGCATGAATTATCTTCATGTTGTTTTATTGATTAAAAATAACAATTAGTTAGTTAGTTATAAATGGCTCTTTTAATATTCTTTAATTGAAGGTTTGAAAAAGGTATAAATTTCAATGATCCATTAAATGCAAACAAGATTGTACTCACGAAGTTAATGAATTTATTGTTAATGACTTAGAAAATATAACAATGATCTCACAAAACAGATTGATCAATTTCAGTTCTCAACAACAATGGAAACATTCAAATAACTAATACAAATGAATTATCTTACAAGTTATCCATCTTAAATATATTTTATGAAAAATAAACATAAATGTTTATCTAACCAAATATATTAACAAGATGATATCTTATTATAAATAATCGGTAATTTAACGTTATAATGATAATTTGGAAAATTACGGAAATGATAGAATTGATAATGTTCTCACATAGTTAATCGTGAAATCTGATATAAATAAAACACAACCACTAGGTTAGCTGACTATTTACATATGGATCAGATAAAATATGATTCACTCAGAATATAATTCAATGATATTTATTGAGTTAACGATTACTTTATATGTGCTTTACATAAAGAAAGTTTTCGTTAGATGATTTGCATAAAGAATGATTTGATAGTTAATATTAAATAATGAATCAATCAAATGATATCTTAGTGATCACAGTCAATAATATAGACTGAGGTTGTTGTTTTTTTGTTGGATGGGGCTGATGGTGGTACAATGATGTTCTATTGGAGTTAATCGAAAGTATTGGTTAACTTGAATAAGTTTATAAAAATTGTTTTCTAGTGAAATACACTAATTGTACAGATAGTTATAATGCTTTATTCCGTAAATGAACTGTTTATTAATGAAACCAGTTATTAATTCTATATATATATATAATGTTTGGTTATATTTCTTTGAAAAAGGTTGGATTAGATTACTGAAAGAAATAATGAATTTACTTCGAGTTAAATGGTTGAACTTTTTACAAATATAATTCTCTTCTCTTTAATGTTTTACATTAATTCAGCGCTTAATTATTATGAGACTATTTGTTTAAATTTAAACGGAAATTTCTGGAAGTTATTAATTCATTTATTATAAATGAGATTTTAGTAGTCCGTCATCTGATTCCAATTTGATCGTATGTTGATTGTCGTTATCGAAATACACATTTCACCAGTTCTCGTATATAATCATCGACTTATATCACATATTAGTAAATAACGGAATTAAATAAGTCAAATACGAGAATCGTTGATCAAGACAAATGATTGAAGAAATGAAGCGAAGTGAAATGATGTGCAGTGGAGAAGGTATGTAAACCAACTCGATTTAATCAAGCGTTAATCGATGTTTATAGTCGAACAAAAATAAGTTACAGATACATGATGAGTCAGATAAGAAATATATATACACACACTCAAATAAAAACAGTCAAGGATAATAAGCAAATTAATTGACAAGGTCATAATGTGATGAGCATAGAGAACGAGTAATTTGGTCTGTATGAAAACTAGAATAAGCTATGAGACTTCGACATAGTGCCAGCCACTACAAGATTATGGTATAAATTAGAAAATAATATTTGATAGTGATTTAATCAGTCAGTCAGCTACAACGTAGGACCAGGCACATATATGCATAGGTCCAAGTTGCCATATCTCATTAGCACAACAAAATGATGCAATATATCGATAATAGAAACCAATAGGATGATAATAAAAATGAAATAGAATAAACATTAAATTACTTGAACAAGTTGTAAACTCAACATTTCTTGCTTTCTCTGATCGAATAAATGAATTAGCCAGTATCATGGGTGTATGAACTAAATCAACGTTATGTTTTCGAAGTAGTAAACGGAATGGTAATCTATAAATGTATATACACATATGAAAAAAATATACTGAGATAAATTGAAAAGTAAGGAAGAATGAACTGCAATGTGATAATTAATAAGGAATATACACATTAGCAATTGGTTAAGACTACTGTACTCTACATCTGCTTCGTAGAAAAAAACTAATTATTCAAAACACCGTGGCCTTGTGGAAGATTTTTTTCACAATTTGTTTTCTTTTTTTCAAAAAGAGATATGGGTCATTTGAAAATATTTTCTGTCACACACTGGTGTGTATGATACTAATTTTGGAATAAAACCATTAGCAATTATATTTGTTATACAAGGGCCCCCAAGTGTCCTAGTACTGTCGAGAGTGGGGAGAGTCAGCTCCCCCTATCGAAATGCTCTCACATGGCCACGCGTATATAGCCTCTGCCTTCTCGTGCAGGGGGTGCTTTTACAAAATTGAGAGGACGAAAAGCAAATTTCTGGCGCTTTAACCGGGTTGGTGGACATGGAGAGTACACCTAGGGGAGTTAGACAACCCTAATCCCAAACCAATAGTGCACATGGGCTTCAGTATTCTGAGGGAACAAATATCTATGTGTTGAAATAAATAAATAAATAAATAAAAAGAAACATACTCAACAATGACAGTTTATGAAGGCCTAATGCTTTATCGTATTGAGTGTTATTTCTATGTTCAAAACTATTGATAGTTTATTTGATTACAATAGTTTTCTCTTGAATTCCATATACTATGATGACTATTATTTGAAGAAACAGACAACTATTTAGTGTATTTAAATTATGGTGAAACGAATTTTGTTAATGGAGGTTAAAGGATCAATGGGGAATGTTAAGTTCATGAAATATAGTGATTCATAAATATTTACATCATGAAAACGTTGATTATTGAAAGAAATATTGAAAATTATGTACTAACTTTGTATATCGAACCATAGGAGCAGAAATCCGAACAAAAGGTATATCATCTTTTTTATAGCATGAAAATATATCCATAATCCTGGAGAAATAAACAAGAAAAAATAGGTGTATTGTATGCATTCATTGACCGAAGAATGAACAATTGTTTGAAATCATCATGATTAAATTATTCCAAAGTTGATCTAGCCTGTATAGAAGTAGTTAAAAATAGCTTTTCCAGGGCATTATTTAAAATCTGCGACCAACTACAAATATCCATCACATCATATTATTTCATGGTACACGACACCTGTTTCGATATGAAGTAGTATTACTTAAAGGCAATGGTTTTTAAGGGAGAATAGAACAAATTTGATTGATAATAACGTAACCTATTCACCAAGTATGGAGACCTATCTATACGGCTTTAAGTTGAAAATACTTTTATGGTATAATAGTATTGGAAGTAGTAAAATTTCATCTTTCAAAGGCTAGATCAAAACGCATTCCCAACAATTCAGTGCTCCTTGATTTCTCAATGCTTTTCCAGACGATATCAATTCGTAATGACATTGAAAGGAGAACTATTACGCCAAAAATGAATATTCCCGAAAATATGAACTGCAAAAAATAGAGTATTGTCAATGAATTCTTTCATTTTTGCTACTCATTCGTTTTATACCTGTCAATGAATATTTGACTCTGGCTATAGCAAAAAATATTAGTTTGGAAAACTTATCATTGTAGGACATAAGATGAAAGTTGCTGAAAAGTATTATGTTGTTCAAGTACTTTTTCAAGGACATAAACGTAATAAGAAAACATTCAAACACGATCGATACCAGTATAAAATAAAAAAAGTACATTAGGCTTAAAAATATAAGTTTATTATCCACATGCATACAAGTTGTATGGATGTTTATTTTATTATTTTACTTGAAAACATAAATATTGGTACAAGGGGCACCAAATAGATATGTGCCACACAATAACAATGAGGCCGGTATCAGTTATCATTGATTTGTGTGAAGGCTGTGATACTGCCCGAGTACCCGAACTGAAGCAGGTGGTTTTCTTAGGAACCACACCCGGAGCCTTTGACTTAAAGGTCTAACCCACAAGGCAGTGGAGCAACGATAGGACATATAGTCCCATGGTAGCCTGTGACCAACAATAGGTTCAAACGCCACTTATCCCTCAGGATCTTAGATCTCATGTGCACTATTGGTTTGGGATTAGGGTTGTCCAACTCCCCTAGGTGAACTCTGCGTGTCCACCAACCCAGTTAAAGCGCTGGGAATTCGCTTTTCGTCCTCTCACTTTCGCAAACAACGCACTCGCCGCATTGAGTAAGACTTCCTTGGCAGTGGCCATGTGAGAGCATTTCGAGAGAAAGAGCGGACTCTCCCCACTTTCGACCGCACCAGGGCACTTGGAGGCTGTAGAAACGTATAACATAAAAAAGCACAATAACGTTATGTATTTGATTAAGCATTTAATTATTGTACGGTATCAATGTAAGTTTTCAAACTATTTATTACAAAACAAAGAAAGAAAGAGAAAAATAAAAACAGAGAATTCAGTTTTATATTTTGTGGAGAAAACATTGCGAAGGAACTAAGTCTTTTTTCTTTCAAATAAAGAAACAACTAAAGTAACAAAATCAACGATAATAACGGTATGAAGGTCACTATTTCGTTTATTTTAAAAAAAGGAAGTATTTTTTTATTGACGTGCACTGTTAGTTGATGTTCCATTAAACAAATGTCGTATTCGAATTTCAAATTCTTCAACGGACAATTTAATATATTTATCACGATTTGTTGTGAATGCGATAGACATTGATTTTTCCCAGAAACCACGATATAAAGCGACTAGATCCCGTACTAATTGATGCTCTAAACTATTTTTCAATTCTCGATCAGGTATTGAAATAAGATGATGTTGTTTAGTTAAAGTATTCAGTCCATTATTAAAATCCTTAGAATACAAAGCAAGGAGAAAAAGAGATATGAGTTAATAATTGTAAATCTTAATTACAAATCAACTGTAAATAATGTAGTAGAGAAACTTATGTGAAACACAAAAATTACAGTAGTATATACGTTAATCAATTAACTGCTATTACGACATTCGTCCTGAAGCAAAATATTCATTGGAAAGCACTTTAGTAAATACATTTTTACTTTATACATATAAAGTTGAGAATGTACGGCGGCTTTCGGTATTCGATTATATCGACTCCTCAAAATGCAGAGAGTTAATATTATTTGTGAGCTAAATGAAGATCAGCATTGAAGTGGGGGCGTTTTATGTTATAACACTGACATACATATATTTGTCATGTTCCACTACTTATCAAGAGCAAGTTTATGGTCTAATTAAACAAAACCGAAAGTTGGTCAGTTTATGATGCATAGATGAAGTGGACTTTACATATCATGTAAGTCTCATTAACACCGGTTAGTTGGTGTCTGACGAAAAATTGGCACCGATTCGGAGAGCTCAGTCGGTCTTCACCAATTTATGTCACTTATGGCGTAGGCGAGACATTCGTCTGCCAGTCAAATGAAGAGTTTACTGCGCAACAGCTCACTTAATGGCTGTGAAACGTGGCCTTCAAAAATAAAGGGTATTCAAAGGCTATTAGTATTTGATCATAGGTGTCTTTGAAGCACTGCTTGTACATTTTGGGACCATACTACGCAAGAACGACAAACCGGTTGATGAGGTAGTGAAACTTTATCGACTAAGATTTTTGGGACATGTGTTACGTATGCCCGTCCACCGACTACCTAAACGCACAACGATGACTGGTGCATGAGTAGGCAGGAAGAAAGCTAAGGGAGGCCAAACCAATACGTAGCGTCAGTTCATGAAGACACTGACCATTGAACTGAGTCGTGTAGGCAGGTATAGACTACCACGTGATTATAGCAAACAATTGTTAGAGGCTTTGAATGACACTCCTTAGAATAGTTCGCAATGGTGCAGGTGCATGCATTGCTTGTCTTACCTCATATTATTAGCTTCTGAATTCCTTTTTTATTTCACTAATTTACATTTTCTAGAGTAATACCTTTGATGTCTGATCTTTTTTATTAACACCAATACTGTTACATGTACTTTTCTCTGGAATTGCCCCCAAATGCCCTGGTATGGCCGAGAGTGGGGTGGGCCCACCCTCTCTCTCGAAATGCTCCCACATGGCCACGCTTATACAGCCTCTGCCAGGGAAGTCCTGCTCACTGCCTTCTCGTGGCGGGGTTGTTGTTTACGAAATTGAGAGGACGAAAATCGAATTTCCGGCGCTTTAACCGGGTTGGTGGACATGGAGAGTACACCTAGGGGAGTTAGACAACCCTAATCCCAAACCAATAGTGCACATGGGCTTCAGTATTCTGAGGGAACAAATATCTATGTGTTGAAATAAATAAATAAATAAATAAAAAGAAACATACTCAACAATGACAGTTTATGAAGGCCTAATGCTTTATCGTATTGAGTGTTATTTCTATGTTCAAAACTATTGATAGTTTATTTGATTACAATAGTTTTCTCTTGAATTCCATATACTATGATGACTATTATTTGAAGAAACAGACAACTATTTAGTGTATTTAAATTATGGTGAAACGAATTTTGTTAATGGAGGTTAAAGGATCAATGGGGAATGTTAAGTTCATGAAATATAGTGATTCATAAATATTTACATCATGAAAACGTTGATTATTGAAAGAAATATTGAAAATTATGTACTAACTTTGTATATCGAACCATAGGAGCAGAAATCCGAACAAAAGGTATATCATCTTTTTTATAGCATGAAAATATATCCATAATCCTGGAGAAATAAACAAGAAAAAATAGGTGTATTGTATGCATTCATTGACCGAAGAATGAACAATTGTTTGAAATCATCATGATTAAATTATTCCAAAGTTGATCTAGCCTGTATAGAAGTAGTTAAAAATAGCTTTTCCAGGGCATTATTTAAAATCTGCGACCAACTACAAATATCCATCACATCATATTATTTCATGGTACACGACACCTGTTTCGATATGAAGTAGTATTACTTAAAGGCAATGGTTTTTAAGGGAGAATAGAACAAATTTGATTGATAATAACGTAACCTATTCACCAAGTATGGAGACCTATCTATACGGCTTTAAGTTGAAAATACTTTTATGGTATAATAGTATTGGAAGTAGTAAAATTTCATCTTTCAAAAGGCTAGATCAAAACGCATTCCCAACAATTCAGTGCTCCTTGATTTCTCAATGCTTTTCCAGACGATATCAATTCGTAATGACATTGAAAGGAGAACTATTACGCCAAAAATGAATATTCCCGAAAATATGAACTGCAAAAAATAGAGTATTGTCAATGAATTCTTTCATTTTTGCTACTCATTCGTTTTATACCTGTCAATGAATATTTGACTCTGGCTATAGCAAAAAATATTAGTTTGGAAAACTTATCATTGTAGGACATAAGATGAAAGTTGCTGAAAAGTATTATGTTGTTCAAGTACTTTTTCAAGGACATAAACGTAATAAGAAAACATTCAAACACGATCGATACCAGTATAAAATAAAAAAAGTACATTAGGCTTAAAAATATAAGTTTATTATCCACATGCATACAAGTTGTATGGATGTTTATTTTATTATTTTACTTGAAAACATAAATATTGGTACAAGGGGCACCAAATAGATATGTGCCACACAATAACAATGAGGCCGGTATCAGTTATCATTGATTTGTGTGAAGGCTGTGATACTGCCCGAGTACCCGAACTGAAGCAGGTGGTTTTCTTAGGAACCACACCCGGAGCCTTTGACTTAAAGGTCTAACCCACAAGGCAGTGGAGCAACGATAGGACATATAGTCCCATGGTAGCCTGTGACCAAACAATAGGTTCAAACGCCACTTATCCCTCAGGATCTTAGATCTCATGTGCACTATTGGTTTGGGATTAGGGTTGTCCAACTCCCCTAGGTGAACTCTGCGTGTCCACCAACCCAGTTAAAGCGCTGGAAATTCGCTTTTCGTGCTCTCACTTTCGCAAACAACGCACTCGCCGCATTGAGTAGGACTTCCTTGGCAGTGGCCATGTGAGAGCATTTCGAGAGAAAGAGCGGACTCTCCCCACTTTCGACCGCACCAGGGCACTTGGAGGCTGTAGAAACGTATAACATAAAAAAGCACAATAACGTTATGTATTTGATTAAGCATTTAATTATTGTACGGTATCAATGTAAGTTTTCAAACTATTTATTACAAAACAAAGAAAGAAAGAGAAAAATAAAAACAGAGAATTCAGTTTTATATTTTGTGGAGAAAACATTGCGAAGGAACTAAGTCTTTTTCTTTCAAATAAAGAAACAACTAAAGTAACAAAATCAACGATAATAACGGTATGAAGGTCACTATTTCGTTTATTTTAAAAAAAGGAAGTATTTTTTTATTGACGTGCACTGTTAGTTGATGTTCCATTAAACAAATGTCGTATTCGAATTTCAAATTCTTCAACGGACAATTTAATATATTTATCACGATTTGTTGTGAATGCGATAGACATTGATTTTTCCCAGAAACCACGATATAAAGCGACTAGATCCCGTACTAATTGATGCTCTAAACTATTTTTCAATTCTCGATCAGGTATTGAAATAAGATGATGTTGTTTAGTTAAAGTATTCAGTCCATTATTAAAATCCTTAGAATACAAAGCAAGGAGAAAACGAGATATGAGTTAATAATTGTAAATCTTAATTACAAATCAACTGTAAATAATGTAGTAGAGAAACTTATGTGAAACACAAAAATTACAGTAGTATATACGTTAATCAATTAACTGCTATTACGACATTCGTCCTGAAGCAAAATATTCATTGGAAAGCACTTTAGTAAATACATTTTTACTTTATACATATAAAGTTGAGAATGTACGGCGGCTTTCGGTATTCGATTATATCGACTCCTCAAAATGCAGAGAGTTAATATTATTTGTGAGCTAAATGAAGATCAGCATTGAAGTGGGGGCGTTTTATGTTATAACACTAACATACATATATTTGTCATGTTCCACTACTTATCAAGAGCAAGTTTATGGTCTAATTAAACAAAACCGAAAGTTGGTCAGTTTATGATGCATAGATGAAGTGGACTTTACATATCATGTAAGTCTCATTAACACCGGTTAGTTGGTGTCTGACGAAAAATTGGCACCGATTCGGAGAGCTCAGTCGGTCTTCACCAATTTATGTCACTTATGGCGTAGGCGAGACATTCGTCTGCCAGTCAAATGAAGAGTTTACTGCGCAACAGCTCACTTAATGGCTGTGAAACGTGGCCTTCAAAAATAAATGGTATTCAAAGGCTATTAGTATTTGATCATAGGTGTCTTTGAAGCACTGCTTGTACATTTTGGGACCATACTACGCAAGAACGACAAACCGGTTGATGAGGTAGTGAAACTTTATCGACTAAGATTTTTGGGACATGTGTTACGTATGCCCGTCCACCGACTACCTAAACGCACAACGATGACTGGTGCATGAGTAGGCAGGAAGAAAGCTAAGGGAGGCCAAACCAATACGTAGCGTCAGTTCATGAAGACACTGACCATTGAACTGAGTCGTGTAGGCAGGTATAGACTACCACGTGATTATAGCAAACAATTGTTAGAGGCTTTGAATGACACTCCTTAGAATAGTTCGCAATGGTGCAGGTGCATGCATTGCTTGTCTTACCTCATATTATTAGCTTCTGAATTCCTTTTTTATTTCACTAATTTACATTTTCTAGAGTAATACCTTTGATGTCTGATCTTTTTATTAACACCAATACTGTTACATGTACTTTTCTCTGGAATTGCCCCCAAATGCCCTGGTATGGCCGAGAGTGGGGTGGGCCCACCCTCTCTCTCGAAATGCTCTCACACGGCCACGCGTATACAGACTCTTCCAAGG